GAATGTTAACTAGCATGCTAGCATGCAAAAAAATTCGATAGCTGCATTCGTCACAAGTGGGAAAATTTTTTAATCTGCATGGCACTTTACTCCAGTTGGCTCATTCGCTTGCTTAAACTCAACGTTGAATTCTGATTCGGCAGAACTGGGTTGGGTGTGAAGAAGTATTTGTTGTTAACATCCTTTTTTCATTCGGTTTTTCCAGTTACGAGTCTTTTTTTAAAGCTGAACGTTTTGTCTTCATATTGTTTAGTTCTTTTTTCGTAACAGATTTAATGTTTAGTATAGAGCTTAGAAAAAATCGCAGTGTTAGATAGGCAAGAAGTAAGGCATGTAGCAACATCAGCACGGCAAAGGGCACTCCTTTAAAGGCAAGGAAGGGCAAAAATATTTTAAACAAAGTGATAGCGATTGCTGTATGAGTCGTACGATTTTGAATCAAGCACGGGCAATGCCAGGCGATGCTGCTAGTATATATATATATATATATATATATATATATATATATATATATATATATATATATATATATAGTATTTTAGAGGGATAGAAATTCTACCTATAACAACTTACATTAATCTTTCTCATATACACATGTGCAAATATATATTTTTTTTTGCTTTATGTCACATTCTGTCTCTGTCACACACACGCACATATATATCACATTCCTTTTCTTTATCTCACTCTCTCTCACACACACACATATGCACATGTATAGCTCTTTCCCTTTTTCTATCTCTCACACACACGCTCATATATCTTTTTCCCTTTCTCTATCTCCCTCTCACACACACACACCACACAAATATGAACATATATATATCTCTTTCCCGTTCTCTTTCTCACTCTCTCTCACACACACATGCACCTATAGCTCTTTCCCTTTCTCTATCTCTCTCTCTCTCTCTCTCTCTCACACGTGCACATAGCTCTTTCCCTTTCTCAATCTCACACACACATACGCATACATATAGCTCTTTCCCTTTCACTATCTCGGTCTCTCTCTCTCTCTCTCTCACTCTCTCTCTTACACACACACACACACACACACACACACACACACACACACACACACACACACACGCGCACACACACACACATATATATATATATATATATATATATATATATATATATATATATATATAATGTTGATAGATATAAGTATCTGGAAAAATTCTCATGGCTTTTATAGGCAAGTTAATGCCTAATAGATTAAAATGAACAAAATATCTCCAATGGTAAATAGATCTTCAAATTCTCTGATGAAAGTTATTCTACGATTCTAAAAACAAAGAGAAATCAACGGCTAATTGGTTTATATTAGTGATTTGCCTAAGAATATTTTCAAATTGTGAGTAAATATATGTGAAGATGATATTACAGGTTAGGGTACATCGTCGAAAACTGATCTCTTATCTGACCTCACTCAAATTGCCCTATGCGGGAAACCTGGTTTGTAATTTCAATACCACAAAAGTAAACAAGCTTGTATATTTTTATCATCACTGAATCGATTCTAAATTCTCACCAGTCAAGATGAATTGGTTCATTTTAAATGTGGCTACTTGCTTTAAGCTTCTTCTGGAACACACGTTTATCCCAGATTTCAAGTGCATCTCGTATATACGATTAATAGTTAAAGATGCTGAAAAACATAGTCGGTTCCTTATAAGACCAAATAATTACGACTCAATTTGAAAATGCATGAAAACTTTTCTCTGCTATTTAACACATATGTCGGGTAGACGGATGGATACATACATTTTCCAAGGCTATCGGCGCGTAGACAAGAAGACTGCGAACAGGGTGCTATCAATTGCTCCACGAAAAATTATAAAATAATAGTTTTCTTTGATATATAAGTTAATTTATAAAAGATAGCATCCCTTCGATGAGTGTCTTGTTTTCTTTGTAATTTTATGCTATGAAAATGTACCATAACTGGAATATATATATATATATATATATATATATATATATATATATATATATATATATATATATATATATATGTATGTATGTATGTATGTATGTATGAAAGTTTTAATTTTAACATATATATATATATATATATATATATATATATATATATATATATATATATATATATAAATACGAGGATCATTCAATAAATAAGGTGAATTTTTCGGTATAAGTACTTCTAATACAGATAGAAGCTTACTTTTTTTTTAAATTTTTCAACCTTGTCTCCCAGCATTGTCACACACTTTTCCCATCTGTGCAAAAGCTTCCGCATTCCCTCAGCGTAAAAATCTTTGGACTGATGTCTCAGCCAGTCACTCACAACACTTTTGACTTCATCGTCACTTTTAAACTTCGTGCCTCTCGTGAACGCTTTCAAGGGACCAAACATGTAAAAGTCTGTGGGGGCAAGGTCTGGGCTGTAAGGGGAGTGAGGGAGCAGTTCCCAGCCCAGCTCTTTGATGGTCTGCACCGTTTGGGCTGCTGTGTGAGGCCTTGCGTTGTCATGATGCAAGATAACTCCGTCTGATTGATGACCCCTGCGTTTGTTCTTTATGTCTTTCTTGAACTGCCTCAGCAGTTCACAGTAGTTCTTCTGTCTGACTAAATGAGGTCATTGACTCATTTTATCACCTAAGGCGACATCACTTCTGTAGGCCTCCCAGGCCTGTCTTTATCCTCAACACTGCTCCGTCCATCTTTAAAACAATTTAGCACACTTGTAGACATTTTTTGGGCTGAAACATGTGGCACCATACACAGTTGACATTCTCCTATGAATTTTAACTGGTTTGCACCATTCAGCAACCAAAAACTTGATAACTGACCGCTGTTCAATCCTGGGGCATGCTTCTTGGTCGGTCATCTTTGTTAATCACTAAATAATCAAAGTTTTTTTTTTTTTTTAATCTGCCAAAGAAATTAAATCTATGTGAAAAAGAAGTAAAACAAAAAAAATATGAGAAAAAAGTAAGCTTATATCTGTATTAGAAGTCCTTATACCAAAAAATTCAGCTTATTTATTGAATGACCCTCGTAGATAGAAAGGACAGCATGAATAAAGACAAAACAAAAAAGGTATATTTTCTCACAACGAAGATATTTGAAAAAGAAAACAAAATCGTGACGGATAGAAAGTGTGTGAACACGCGTGCATAAGTATATATACACATGCATATACATATACATATATATATATATATATATATATATATATATATATATATATATATATATATATATATATGTATATATATATATATATATATATATATATATATATATACATATACATCACACACATATATATATATATATGCACACACACACACACATATATATATATATATATATATATATATATATATATATATATATATATATATATATATATATATATATATAAAGAAATATAGTCTTAAGGTGTGCTATATTTATGGAATAAAGTGCTCAATATCAGAGATAGAGCGTGTGTAAATAAAAAAGTGAACATAGAAGTCAATACTTAGAGGCGACAGTCTGTTTCATGTTATATGCAATCGTCAGGCCACCTGACGATTGGCCATATGAAACAGACTGTCGTCTCTAAATGTTGACTTATATGTTCACTTTTATATTTATATATATATATATATATATATATATATATATATATATATATATATACAGACATACCATGGTATTGTTTACCCAGTTTTTCCTACTGTTTCACTTGCTGTCAAATTGTCAGAGTGAGTTTTAAATTCTCAACGCATTTTACGCTTAATAAACATTTATATTTCCACCTGTCTTTTTCTGTTTGCTAGCAACAGAACCTTTGTAGCTTCTAATCACTGTAAAACAGTTTCATTTCTCATATAATCTAGCCAGACTATTCCGAAGCTGGTTTGTTATAATTACATCCACGTCGCTTTAAATCATTTTATCATTTGGAAGTAATTTTCCGATATTCATTACAACATAATAGAGTATAAGATGATTATATAATACATTCCAATTCAACATATTTTTTATCTACTCAACGTATTTATGTTATGCTTTAAAATATTGTGTAGTTTATGAATGTTCACTTTCGCTCTTTCTTTGGGCATGGGTTTGAGAGATAGATAGGTAGGTAGTTAGATAAATAGATGTACTAAAGTTCATCGATTGAGTGTATCAAGAGTTAGCCAACTTAGAGGGCTACTGTCGATGAATGAGGAACGTGATATGAAATACAAAGTATGTGCTAAAAGTAGAGACGAGAAATATGTATAGAGATTGACTTTATTAGATTAAGATTGTATTGCTCAAGGTACATAGATGAGGATGTTTGTTCCACCTAAAAACAGTTCATGTGAAAAATCTGGTGTATATATATATATATATATATATATATATATATATATATATATATATATATATATATATATATATAATTATGAGTGTGACAAATTAGAGACGTGTATATACGACGCGTTTTGCTGAAAACTGCTTGGCTAGGTTTACTTCGGCAAGAGACGTCAGTGAGGCGCATCGTTCATAAGGTGTTACACTATCATCTCAGCAACTCCACTTTTGTTTCCGATACTATTATACATTTGGCAAACACACATATAATTGTACATACATACAGACATATATATATATATATATATATATATATAGAGAGAGAGAGAGAGAGAGAGAGAGGGAGAGAATGAGAGGTGAAGATCAGTTAAAACACATAAGAGATAGATAAACTGTTAAATGTATACATCCTTAGATAGATAGTTCAAAAGATTATATATATAAATTAAATGGATAGCTAAATAGTATATTCAATAGATACATATACTCCTAGATATTGAGATAAAAGTAAATATGGAATTACATTCAATTAATAGGTAGAATTAAATATATATATATATAGATAGATACATAGATATAGTCTTAAATATATACTCTTAGACAAATAGATAACGAAATATATTAAGTAAAAAGTATTTATTAAACAATTCAATAGCTGTCTGAAAATGAAGTTAAAAACATACCTAAAAAGACTCTTCAGACAGAGAGATACAAAGTGAGAGAAAGAGAGAGAGAAAGAGAGAGAGAAAGAGAGAGAGAGAGAAACTCTTTAGCATATATATACACAGATCATTGTGTTATGTATGAAAATTGAATGAAGAGAATGGATAGCTAAATACTTGATTCATTAGATAGATATATTCTTAGAAATAAGAATCAAAGGAATTGTGTAATCAGATTAAATCAATAGCTAGACTTAAATATATAGATGAATAGATTGATATTGCCCTATATATATATATATATATATATATATATATATATATATATATATATATATATATATAGACATGCAAACACATACATATATACACACATGCATGTACATACATATATACACACACATGCATGCACATAAATGTATACACTCATATGCAGGCACATACATATATACACACCTTCTGCACCGACATATATACATACACATGCATGCAAACACATGTACACAAATGCATGCGCACATATATACGCACATGCATGCATACACATATATACACACACTAATACACATACATATATACGGACACACACATACATATAGATATACGCACACACATACATATATACACGCATGCATACACATACATATGCACACACGCATACACATACATACACACATACACCTGCATATCTACACACACGCATACACATACATATTTACACATGCATATATATACACACATATATAACGCACTTATATATATATACACACACATATATAACGCACTTATATATATATACACACATATATACATATGTATATATATACATACATATATATATATATATATATATAAATATACATACACTTATATTTACATACATGCACATTTATATACACACATATATACCTACACATATATACATACACCCCACGTACATATATATATATATATATATATATATATATATAAATGCCATATTTTAGGAAGAAAGTGCGTAAAGAGGTATAAATGGATAAACTTCGATTCGATTCCAACATATGAGGCGTATTATATCTAGGAATATATGATATAGAAAAATTATTGATGACATGAAATTAAACCCAATTACAATAAATTCAGCACAATTTTCACAAACTTCTCCTCGTATCAAATTTCCTAATTAGAACCCTCCCGGGCCAGGAAAGTGTCTACAAACAGTTCAGACGTAATTCTCACAGAGTCTTTCTCCCATCTTTGAGATGTTAATCCCCTGCCTTCCACATTCTTTTAATCCTGACACCTTCTATCACAAAACCTCCTTTCTAACCCCTAAACTCTTAACCATACCCCTATCTTCTGCAACACAGCCACGTCTCTGGCACCCGGAATCATCGCCTTGGGCAGTTAAAGGCATGAATCAATTACGAAACAGAGATTAGTCGCCAGCGGCGGCCGATGATTTTAGACGCGAATAGCGAGGTTTCGCATGCCAAAGTAGTGTTACAAACATCACAGGAAATAGATTGACAATTGTGGCCTGCGGCGAAATGCCCGACTGATACACCTCGGATCGGACATGTTTCGTGATATAGAGGAAACAGTGACTGTATTGGTTGTAGCTAACGGAAACACAAGGGAATGGGTCAAGAGTGGCGGATGAATAGAGTAAGAGATTTTGAGAGTTCAGAATTGTATATTGATGTTTAAATTTGACAAGACGAACACCTCAACGAAAAGTCTTTGGATAGTGAATAAATCTTTTTGAAACTGACACATCTTTAATTACAAGTGCACATACACAATCTTTATGTACGTCTACACTATATATATATATATATATATATATATATATATATATATATATATATATATATATGTATCTATGTATGTATGTATGTTTAAAGAAATAATCATACGTAGAATCAATCAGCAATATTAATGTGATTAATGGCGAAATCACTTCGCTTGTAGAGCATAATGTATGCATTAAAATACTGTTAATCCATTGAATGATGTGATCATTTATAAAACTGTTGTCAGATGTTTCTAGTGTATAATTTTTAAAGTTAAGCAAGTACTTTCGAAGATCAATATTTTCATCCTCAGGCTGTAATGTTTTTCCTTTAAAGTTAAAACTTGAAGACAAAATAATTGTTTGTAGACCGAAAGATGTTTTTTAAGAATGTGCTATTTATTGACGATTGTACAATGTCGGAACGCGCGAGTCGTAAGGCTAAAGTTCAAAATTTCAAGTGAGAATTTTTATATGAATTTTTTAATATGGTAAATCCACCAATTATTTTTTACAAGTGTTTTTCAGTTAACATGACATGAACTAAGTCTATAGTTCAATTATTATAGGGATATGTCTTAGTAGTTTTATATTTTTTTCTCAGGAATTTCGTACTGCGGGAACTATTGTTTTTTTTATAAACATATAATATTAGGCAGCATATATTTTATATATAAATAAATAATCATACATAGAATCAATCAGCGATATTAATGCAATTAATGGGGGAAATCACTTCGCTAGTAGAACATAAATATATATAAGAGAAAGAGAAAGAGAAAAAGAGAGAGAGATAGAGAGAGAGAGAGAGAGAGAATGGCTCGGCCAAAAAATAAATACACACATCGGGAATGGAAGACCTTTATAACTTCTGTTTCAACGTGATATGGCCGTCAGCCCTGGATTAGAATCCAACAGAATGATTGGATAATGAACAAATAGGAAACGTTTAGAAATTTAACATATTTCGTTTTTATTTCTGCTTCATCACAAGTTAAATATGAAAGAGAAAAGCAAATGCTGTTATTTTGTGTTATCTGTTTTGCATTGGTTAAGGAGCCCTTCTTGTGTAGAAAATATTTAGGAATCCTGATGAAAGTTTTACGATCAATAAACACACATGCTATGATGTGACTAACTTTTACAAAATGAATAATATAATTTTTTCTACGTACAATCAAACCGGTGTACGCTAAATTCTTTTACTCTCACAAAAAACATACCCCATTCAACATACGAAAACTACACGAATATATATATGAAGAAATATACTCTTAAGGTGTGCTATATTTATGGGATAAAGTGCTCAATATCAGAGATAGAGCGTGTGTAAATATAAAAGTGAACATTGAAGTCAACATTTAGAGGCGACAGGCTGTGTCATGTTAGACGCAATCGTCAGGCCACGATTGGCCTGACGATTGCGTCAATCATGAAACAAGCTATCGCCTCTAAATGTTGACTTCAGTGTTCACTTATATATATATATATATATATATATATATATATATATATAATCAACCAAATCTAACTAATCAGACTTAGAGAAACAACCAACAATCAAACACAGGATCGCTACCTCTGAACACAAATACACGTGTGGGCTACTTACCAAAGACAAAAAGAAAAAAATACAATATTTTTCGCTATTCCTCTAGATCTAATTTCTGATGAAGCTTATATAAAAGCGAAACATGTTAATTTTATAAACATATCCCATTTGTATTCATATACATGTACCTATATATATATATATATATATATATATATATATATATATATATATATAGTGTGGGTATTTTACTACGTCTCTATCAAATTTGACACAAGATCATTTAATTTGGGTTTAACGGTAATACCGTGGAAAAATTGTCCAAGTACCATCGGCACGACCATTCGTGGACGCCTCAGGCGCCGTGCAATAAATCCACCTCCCTCCTGAAGGAGATGTGTTGCTTGGGGTAAATGGCACCTGGGGCTTGTGCTTAATATTTTTAAAATTACCGAATAGGCGTTCAACTGCAGCAGGTGTGTGTGTGTGTGTGTGTGTGTGTGTGTGTGTGTGTGTGTGTGTGTGTGTGTGTGTGTGTGTGTGTGTGTGCACGTGCGCTCCATGTCGCGTTGCGTATAACTTACTGCATTCTAAGTGGCTACCGGTTTGGTGTAATGGATAGCCATCTAGTTTTTCCGACCCTTCCTATAATGTGTTGCCTGTTCGATATGCTTGCTTCATAAGTAGTGTCTTTTGCCAAAATTATTCTTGTCACTTCACGTTAACTAATCGACTACAGTCATGTTGGTACCACACATATTTCATCTGTAGCAGCAGCAGCAGCAAAGTGTCTCGCGTAAGAAAGCCTGCCGTAGCCGATCCTTCTTTTACCGAATTTTGTATCCAGAATCTTTTTTCCCATAATGACTGCCACTCAAGAAAAGAGCATCAGGTATTCTGTTGTATTTAACCCCATACCTCACGGTAGCAGATCCATACCTACTCCAAAGGTAAAAGGCGCGTATTGGACATAACAGAACCTACTGGAAATTGCACTCGATGTGCGGATTTCAGAACTGATAACCGATATACTACCGGCACATACATTTAACGTTTGCATTTCTATATATTTATGTGTTTGCGTGTCTGTTTCGAAGGTGACCAAGAATGGTAGGAAAAATCGAGAATGGTGTGTTACTATATGAAGCCATACATACATGTAAGATCACATAATGCTGAAACAATCTTTCATTGCCTTTGTTACAGAGAATTTTTTTTTTCTTTTGGTGCAGTAAATTTTGAAAATTTATCAGATTCATATTCTTCTCAGAAGAAAGGCAAACATTTGATTGAAGAATGAAGTTATGAAAACGTGCAGCAATATAAACATGTTCACATTTTGTAGTTTTTTTTTCCTAAGTAATTAGCAGATATAAGAATCAATCAATAACACTCATTTTGTAATATCTCTGTCAGCGTCTTTCATGATTGTCCTTTTTTCCAATAAGTTCGATAATCATAATTTCTCTACAAGATCTGCAGCCACCTGCTCCAAGACAGCAGATTCTTCACGCTTTCAAAAGGGTAAACATCAAACGTTGAGCATGAAATAAAATCTGGCTTTGTAGAGAAAAGTTTTCTTTTAATTTTTACGCGTTTTATTTAATTTTTTTTTTCTAATTTTTCTATATTTTAACTTCATATCCAAATTTTCTGTTTTCCTTCATCAGATATTTCTTCGATTAGTTCTCTGATTCAATAATTTATTACATTGTATTTGCCTCCTTTGATTTCTTATCTATTGTTTTCTTTTCTTTTCTGTTTTACATTGTTCCTCGTTTCTTTCTCTCTTTTGTTAATTCATTTCAAACTGCGTCCTGATTTTTTTTTGTAAAAGGAAAAATGTAAGCGATTTCATTATTTTATGTTATATTGTTTACAAATCATAGGTTTTAACTTCACATTGCTTTTATTTAATTTTGTAATAATGAGTATTCTATTTATTTTCCTAATATTCTCTCATGTGCTATTTTCATAATTCCACGATTTATTTAAACAAGTGTCTTTGGTGTTAGAATTTCCATCTCAGTGTCTCAGACACTGAACCCGATTAGAATTTGAACTCGGCTTTCCAATTTCCAATTACTGCGTTGATATCCATTACACCAGCCGCCCATCATAGGTTGTCTCACCTGGTATTACCAAGCAGTCTCCCATCTAGAGACTGCCCAGGTTAGATGTTAACTTCGGTAATCTTATGGGAACCAGAATTTAAAGACAGAGATAATATGAAATAATGTTTAAGAAAAGACATTGAACAACGTTCTAAAAGAAATATTACGTCTCTGAAAAATAAATTGGCGCAATCATCTAAAATATCATAACATAACTGCAATGTGCAAAACTGATGCACTTCTGTTCAATATATAGAATTTCTGTGACTGAGGCCATACGATTTTAGTAGCATAATCAAGTCTTAACATAAAATCGTTTTTTATTCATTTTATTTCATTTTATTAACTAAAAACATACATATAACACAATGCCAAACAGAAACGTCTGATGAATACGAGTTTGAAAATACTATATACACGAATACCTATATTCTAATGTCTCCATCAAGGTAATCCTTTAAATCGAGCTGCCCAATGGCTCGAATATTTACTTTCTTATTCAATGTAAAATTTCGATAGAAATACTGTTCATCTAACTAAATTGGTATTAAGAATTTCCCAAGTGTAGCTTTGATATGACACAAGGCCGAAATATTGGTCACCCAGTGAGAACCGGAATCACTACTTTGTCGTAATTGTGCGAGCGAGACAGGCTTGCTAACCATCACGCCGCCTAGAGATTCCCATTTTTTTAAAATATAAATATTAATCAAGAAAGTTGAGTGTCATTTAGGTTAAATGATTGGAAAAAGATATAGCGTTATAACTGATTCTAATTTTAAGTTCCGTAGAAATTACTAAAAACTCACAAAAGTGTTCGCCATTTGTATTCGCAGCACTCGTCGGTAAGAACATATAGGTGTCACTGTAGGGTATATTTTGAGAAAAAAATTCAGTATTAACTGCTATATTAGTTATGAAACCAAAACCTATCTCATTTCATTCTGAAAATAATTTTCAACACCTTGCCACAATGTTTATTTACTGAAAAAATTCAAATTGTCCTGGAACTTCCTGATTCCTATGTGACATATTCCGTATTCTGTTAATAGACGCACTAAATGTTTATATTTTCACACCTGTTTGAGTATTATAGCCTCAATACCTATTGATTGCTGCTTATCGTGAAAACCATATTTCCTGTTTTCTTACTGGTTAATATTTTGATATTCATATTCCTTGTCTCGTTCTTGTTCTATTCTGTTAATTTTGCTTCAGAAAATGCCCTCAACACTGTATTGTCTGCATAGCCTATGGCCGATAATAAAATTTAATCTCACCACTGTTCCCATTAAAATTATCACATTGAAAGAATTTTAAAAAATCCTGTGAATAACCACGTCGCGCTCGGCTTTGTTTTTTGTGTATTCAATTAACCCGGTTTCTATCCGTATGAAATTGTATAGTTCCCAATGCCGGTTAAGGATTATTTCGGTAGAGATTAAGTTTTACTAAGGATTTCATGTTTTCTGTGTAAGATGTGGTTATATAAATGCCGATACATGAGTACATATATAAAATCGTGTATGAAAAATACTTTTACAAACTATGGGGGCGAGTTCCTCATGCCAAAACAATGACAAAAGTCCAAATAATCATAAAAATTGCTGATTGCACATAGCTGTTTATATTAAAATATATAAGGAAAAATTACGGTAATGGATAGCAATGCTCAACTTTGTATAAATATTTGTACCCTTGAAAACAATTTTCTACTACATGCACATCTGAGGACGAACTTGGAAGAAGGTCGAAAGTACTTGGGAAATTAAAATAAAAGAAATTTAAACAGTTATACCACATTTCTCTCATCATTTAATATAAACACACAGAAGGTTATAAGTGTGTATGAATGGATTATGTTCAAAATTAGCAGAAATAAGGTCTATAACTTTTTCAATCATATATATATATATATATATATATATATATATATATATATATATATATTACAAATAAATAAATACTTTCGTAAAAAACATTATTATTTTTTTTTTTTTTTATATATATATATATTTATATATATATATATATATATATATATATATAAATATGTGTTTACATATGTGTGTCTATGTGTGTGTGATCGGATGTCGATTATGCATTCCACAATTTTCATCCGATTTCGATGAATTTTTTTTTTGTTTCATAGATAATTTTTCAGTGCCGGTTTGGAGTTCAAATTCTTGGTGACATTGGCTCTCCACTACTTCCTGTTCTTTATATCTCTTAGCAACTTTTTACTATTTATTATCTGTTCTTGGATATATATCTTTCATAAAAAAAATTAATAAAATATAAATACTTTAAATTATTACGATAATATTATTTATTATACAGTTCCCTTATCAAGAACACCCCTAATTCAAATTGCTACACCCCCATATGTGGATGTGCCTCAGTTACTAATAATGATATTCGGGTGGGCTGAATTTAAACATAAACTGCTCGAACTGAACTATCTATCTATATATATATATATATATATATATATATATAGAGAGAGAGAGAGAGAGAGAAAGAGAGAGAGAGAGAGACAGACAGACAGACAGAGATAGATAGATAGATAGATAGATAGATAGATAGATAGATGAGACAGACAGATGAGACAGATTAGATAGATGAGATAGATTAGATGAGAAAAAATGACATAGATAGATAGATAGATAGATAGATAGATAGATAGATAGATAGATGGATGTGACAGCCGGATGAGTCAGAGTAGATAGATGAAATAGATGAGATGAGATAGATGAGATTAGATAGATAGATAGATAGATAGATAGATAGATAGATAGATAAGAGTATCGTATTACTGATTACCTCGATACATATTTGTAATAAATTCACAGGCAAGCAATGCATTTGATACTGTGATGAAAATCTTATTGTCACTCAATATAAAAAAGGGATCAAAAGATGGATTTGACGATGCCCGACGCTCAAATGAAACAATTAGACAAGGTGGCAATAGTAATTTACAATGCTTTCCTCTTCTTGCCGTCTTTCCAGAAATGCACAAGCCATTTGCTTTGTCCCTTTCAGAAAGAAAAAAAAACAAAAAAACTGGGAATGACTTCAACACCTTCTATCTATTTTTGTAAGAATCCAATTTCGCCAGTAAACAAATATTCTTTATTAAACGCTTATTCAATCTCCGTCGCAAACATATCACGTTTTATCAACTCACTTCTCCGTCCGTTTCCGATTCCTCGAAGTTGTGAAGAAACACGTCACCCTCTGTAGGTTTGTCCCGCCGCATTTGGCGCTGAAGAGAAAATAGTGTTGTCTGACACTTAGATTTCTATGACTGGCCGGTGGCGAGAATGACGAGAGAGTATGATGCTTAGATAATTGCCTACAAAATGGAAGAGTTATTTACAAGTAGACACTTATATTTTTAATATAATTGCAAGAGGTCTGGCGATATTCGAAAAAAAAAAGTCTTCTTGGGGTGACAAAGCTTGTTGAAACGGAAAGAGATAATTCTTGAATTAAAATTAATCTTTAATTCAGAAAATCTTGTAAAGATGATATATCCTACATATTTTAGTTAGACATTTTATGGGCTTCATATTGAAAATTCTTCTTGTGACGTACATTTAACTATAGGATTAAATCATCGAAGATTTATATTGTCATATTCGACGTCGGTCCCTGAACGCTTTGAATGAACTGAAATTGCTGGCAATGCATTTCTTAAGTGTTAAGTTTACTATATACGTACAGCTGGTTCAGTGTGATTACAATATAATTATATTACATTTTTTAGTACCGTACAAACTTCAATTTTATGATAATATGAACTTTTTTTTTAAGTTTTGTTTTTTGTTGTTAATCGGTATCACACCAAGTCGTTACAGCCACTATTACACAAGGCGTTACAGCCACTATTACACATGACGTTACAGCCACTATTACACAAGGGGTTACAGCCACTATTACACATGACGTTACAGCCACTATTACACAAGGGGTTACAGCCACTATTACACAAGGGGTTACAGCCACTATTACACAAGGGGTTAAAACCACTATTACACAAGGCGTTACGGCCACTGTTACACAAGGCGTTACAGCCACTATTACACAAGGGGTTACAGCCACTATTACACAAGGGGTTACAGCCACTATTACACTAGGGGTTACAGCCACTATTACACAAGGCGTTACAGCCACTATTACACAAGGGGTAACAGGGCGTGGGAGAATTGTGTCACATCAGGTCTCAGTGGAGAGACGGGGTAATTACGACTTAACGCATACATCACGCTTTGTCCATGCATCATAAATAATGCATTACTCCGTTTTGACCACGAGGAAAGAAGAAACATACACATTGTAAACACAGTGCGGGTTCAGTGAGAAAAAACAAATTAAATAACAAGAACGTATAGAAAGAGGCGATAAAAGCCTCGTTTGTTTGACGTGTACTTCAGTAAAGTGAAAAATCCTGCCAATTTAAATTTTCCATTTGTAACTTCTTTAAATTATGACCGGCATTCAGCTTTGTGATTTTAACTGCAATATTCTGTTATAATTGTGAAGCACAATTATTTAACGAGGAAGTAGAAATCTTTC